GTACATCCTATATTATTACAATAACTCCGTATAGTACACCCTATATTATTACAATAGCTCCGTATGGTACATCCTATATTATTACAATAGCTCCGTATGGTACATCCTATATTATTACAATAGCTCCGTATAGTACATCCTATATTATTACAATAACTCCGTATAGTACACCCTATATTATTACAATAGCTCCGTATGGTACATCCTATATTATTACAATAGCTCCGTATTGTACATCCTATATTATACAAGATCTCCGTATAGTACATCCTATATTATAACAATAGCTCCGTATGGTACATTCTATATTATTACAATAGCTCCGTATGGTACATCCTATATTATTACAATAGCTCCGTATAGTACATCCTATATTATTACAATAACTCCGTATAGTACACCCTTTATTATTACACTGTCGAAGCAATAGTGTTCCTCGAAAAGTAAAAGCTGTAATGTTCATACGAATGGTTAATTACATACTTGAAAACCGTGGCTATAACATTGTCTTCTACAACGTAATGTTCTCTTTGGTACTAGTGGAAATATTAAATACAAGAGTTAAAGCATATTGTTTTCCATATCATTTTCCTTCAAATAGCCCCCCAGTGGTATAGCGGTATGTCTACAGACTTACAACGCTAGAATCCGGGTTTCGATACCCGTGGTGGGCAGAGCACAGATAGCCCTTGTGTAGCTTTGTGCTTAATTACAAACAAACAAACCTTCAAATATAAATAAAAAGAATGTCTTGAAACAGAGTTGTTTTTCATAAGGTTTGATAATAATGGTCTAATTCAATACAACTTAAAGTATTTTATTTTTATTGACAACTATTCTTTGCCGTGCTGAAGCGTTAGTAAATTTATATTGTTTGAAGAAATACCGACAACGAAACGATGTCTTCCGTCCCAGAAACATGCTGCTGACTAGGTTCATGTTTAATTTTCAAAAAATGAACACAAAGAAACCGTAAATTTATAACGGATGCTGCATCTGTATTTATGAACTTCCGGATAATTTCAGTTTAATCAGTTGTAAGACTTGCATTTCTTAAAACAATTTATATAGATATTTTGGAAATTGCATGTTGTGTAATTATAGGTAAAATAGAATGCAAGAACTCGACTGTCTCTGTTTTAAAATGTGAGATCCAAACCAGAATCGTTTTGTTGGATTTGTTTAAGCACAAATATGCGCAATGGGATATCTACGAGAGGATCGACACCCGAATTTTAGCGTTATAAGCCTCCAAACCTACTGAACGTGATTATGAGTTTTAAAAAAATGAAAAATCATTATAAGTGTCCAAATTGGAGATGAAAACATTTACTATATCATAACAAACAAAATATTTTGATAAACATTTCTAATCCTACAATACGTGATGTGTACATCATAGCAAATCACACACCTTCTTCATGGCATCCGATATTTCTTCTTTAGTCTAGATAACTCACTAGATTGTCATCAACATAACTCAGACTCTTGAATCACAAATATATTCGTCATGCTGGATTCGCGGTATATATGTCAGCATAAAACAACCTTTCGATAAAACAATCTATCTTCCTTAAAATCACTACGCTTTCGTCAGCATTAACTAAATTACAGAAATAATCCATTTTCTTTTCCACGTTTCTCTTCGTTTTTTGTTTTTTTTAATGCTGACAGAGCATTTGTTGTCATTGCATTTTGGAAACTCAGAAACATGATGACATTTAAATCCTTGTGGTAAGCTTTATTATTTTTCTATATTCCTAAGTGTTGTTTAAACCAAAATAAACATAAAATTCTTCCTATCCATTATGATGTATTCACCAAATGTATCGAAAAACTGCAAATTCGCGCTCCCGTTTTATTAATTAAAGCTGGTTAAAACATATTTTGGAGCCAGCAAGTAATTAGAGAAAGGCATCATAACTTTAGTGATGGTAAGTTTTTAATTCGTTTCGAAAAGAGTAATTCCTTTAGATAATGTAGGTTGGTAGTTTCAACAACTGACGGACTTTGTTCTCCATGAAACTTGCAGAACGTCTTAGAAAAAGCTGAAGTATATTTCCAAAGTACTTTCCTTGTTTTTTTAGGGTACCAAATGTCCAGGCCCATTTGTCGTAACCAGGCCACAGGAAGAGAAGTCAGCGAAGGTTTGTGTGATCCTACCATTAGACCACGTCCTCAAATTAGAATGTGCAACAATCACCAATGCCCTGCAGTGTGAGTAGTTCACTATTTGGCAGATATTTCAGAGCTTGAGCATTTTATGTTTCTGAAAACTGGTAATTAACGCATAACGCAATAGTGTTATTGAAGACAACAGGGTTCTTCCCACGAGTAATAATTAACTAAACCACTCGTGACCCACTATTCAGAGGTTATAAAAAATTCAAGCTAATTTCAATATTGCACCAAAATTAAGGTTTATTTTGAGATAATCTAATTAAATATTTCAATCCATTCGTGTTATTCATAATT